AAGTGTGGGTATCTAAAGGTTATTTTTTTCTTTTCGGAAGGAAGACAGTAAAAATGTTCTGCTGCTTAAGATTACTATTGGTATTTTCCTGTCCTTATGGTGAGGAGTGACAGCCATTAACCATACAGAGTTGGTTCATATTTATGACATAAGTACTCAAAACATCCAACCTGACTATGGCTTGTACAATCCATGACCAGGGCCTGACTCTTAAGTTTGTATTTCATTTCCAAAACTAAATTCTCAAAGAATGTTCAGGAACAGAATGCTTTAACTAGATGACTAAAACGATTTACTCTTCTGAAATCTGTGAAAGTACAAAGCAGCAAGATGACTTCAAAATTCAGCCACACAAAAACAAAGGCAATGCGATTAGTGCTCCTTTAACTCCTTACGGATTGTACTAAAATACACACACTAGGCAGCCTAGCCCATCTCATCAGCAGTGCAGGATGGTTTCTGACTACCTTTTCTCTAGGGTATGTCTACACTGCTGACTAAGCCCACATCTGTGGGACCTAGACTTGGTAACATGCTGTTTCCAAGCTGTCGGTTGAGTGTCCACACTGCACTGTAAACCTGGGCTTACAATTGCTGGACCTGGGTCTCTCAGCCCCGCTAACAGGTCTATACAAGGTCCTTCTGACTCAGGTCTGCAGCTTGAACTGCATCCAGACTGCAAAATGAAAGGGTTTGGACCTGAGTCGCAGTGGAAATTGGGCTCTGACACCACACACACACACGGTCCTAAGACTGGATCCTGAGTGCTTGTTGACCCGAGTCACACTGATGTGTGTGGACTGATGAGAGGCTTGGGCTCAAAGCTGAATCAGAGTCCAGGCTAAGAGTGCAGTGTAGATGTATCCCTAGCATCATGATCTATTTTTGTATGTTGCAGGAAATGGAGCTTCCACCACTTCCCTTGGAAGCCTGATCATCTCACTGCCCAGATGTTTCTCCTGATCATCCTAATTTTTTCTCCTCTTAATTTTAATCCCATTACACCAAGTTATAGTATCATGCATAACTACAGAACTGGCTCCATCTTTGGTCCTCTCTTTCTTTCATTCTACCTTTTTCTTTGCATAGTGTCATACACTCAGAGTTCTTAAAGCTACCATTCTCTACAAGAACAGAATTTCTTGAACTAGCTTAATTTGTTTAAAGTAACGGTATGCATGGTCCCTACAGTGCTATTGTAGTGTTGCCCCTATGGTGGCAGCAGCTGCTTACTGCTACTATCACAGTAAGCTTGAAAATGTGTAGTTTGCTGGCTGTAAGAGCAGCAGCACTATGACTATCAGGCCAGACTGTTGTGATCCCGGTCTCCATGCCCCTTTCCACCTCCAGATCATGGACAGTCTGAATTATCAACCAGTGCTGCAATGGAGGGACCTAGAGCAGCACTACTACCTCAAGTGTTGTGGGCAAGTTAAATTTTGTTCTACTTTTATTTTTAACTGGAAGTGTCCTACAGATAATTCGAGGAAGGATTTTCTTGATAAAGAATAAGGACCAGGAAAAAGGAGTGTTGAGAGGACAAGACCAGAATAGGGTTAAGAAAGAAGAGGACACCAAGGCCTGGTCTACACTACACAGTTAGGTTGACATAAAACAGCTTACATCAACCTAAATATGTCAGTGTACACACCACAGCCTTGCTCCACCAATGTAAATGCCCTACTACACCAACATAATAACGCCACCTCCACAAGAGGTGTAGGGCTTATGATGGTGCAGTTAGGATGACGCAGCGTCTGTGTAGATGCTGGGTTACTTACATTGGCTGTTTGCGGTCTTCTCAATTTCAGGGCTCCATGAAGCCTTGAAACATAAGAAAACCGGGCAGCTAGAGCCCGGCTGACCCTAGCTCCCTGCTCTCATCAGGGAATGGGAAGGTGAGAACCCTGGGAGGCAGCTGGGCTCCCCGTGGGGAGCTGCGTGGGGCTGAGAGCCCTAGCTTTCAGCCCCCCAACACTGCCCCTCTTCAGTAGGTAGAGGTACTCTGGTGAGGAGGCGCACCACCGACAGAAGGAGGGTAGTGTGGACCTAACATAGGTCCACTCAAGTCCAAAGTGTAGACATGGCCCTAGACTTGGGAATAAGGGGAACTAGAGCTCAACAGTCAACCCGATAGTAGCAGTATCACTGTTCTCATGGCCAGCTCCTTGCATGTGCAGACCTAACACCACAGCAGCATGGTGCTGCTGTCATGGCAGAGCTATGAAAGCAGATATAGCTCCCTATGCTTTTACTTTTGAGATACTCAACTATATTTAAACACAAGATGAAAGAAGATTAAGAAAATTTTTAACTATTACAATATTTTATAGTAAAAAGCATCCAAAGGAGTTAGCAGATAATTTTAATAGCTCCTACACCACCATCTTTACTAGCATATAAAAACAAATAAAGCACTTAAGAACTTCCCACCTGAAAAATCAGGTTTCTCAGATTAGGCACCCAAAATTAGTGGATGATTGTGACCTTGATCCTCTACACCTCAGCTCCCCATCTGTGAAATGGGGATAATACTCCCTCACCTCACAGGGGTGTTGTGAAAATAAACATTTGTTGTGATTTCAGATACTATAGGGATGAGCAAGGCAGAAAGGCCCATTAGGAAATTAATAATTCTGTATTCAGAGGAGAGTTTAAATAGTGTGTGTAATAAATAAGCTACTGAATAGCAGATCATTCAATTAGCACTGCCCATTCTGTGCTCTTGCATTTGAACCAGGTGGCTTCCTCCTCCACACTGCCTGGGACTCAGCAGGAGAAGCAATGAGGGCATAGAAACAAGTCTGCCATCTCTCAGTTCCTGTGTCTGGGGCCACAGGAGCTGCAACTACAAGGAAAGTCGTACTCAGTCGCCACTGCCCTGCGCTGGAGCATGCTCAGTACACACAAAATCTTCAGAGAATGTAGCAGGTAAATTCTCAAGTCCATACTGAACGTATGCACAGTGAAATTTTTAAAGGCTTATAACTTGGCATTTCTTCCCCCTCACAGGAACAGCAAAAGAGACATCTCTGACCCAAAGGAAACCGTCCTGCCAAATTTCAACTCCTGCTCCAATCCTGGCCACACTAGTGCTTCTTAACGAAAGGATGTAAGAATTTTTTGAACATTGGAAAAAGAGTGCATTTTTCCCCAAACTTTGTTCTGACAAATGGCTGAACCATTTTTGCTGAAACTTTCCCCCCAAAAAAATTCAAACTGAGGTGGTAACTGGCTTCAAAGAGTTCAGTTCCACAAGTTAAAGTTTGGCAAAATTATAAGAAACTGAAAACAGGGTCTTATATGGGAAAATGTTGGGCAATCTTAACCATAGATAGTGCTACCCTCTCCTCCTGTAAGAGTACATATGACAGTACTACATTCCTATGTTTGTCAATCTCATATTAACTACCTAGATAACACTGCTCAATGGAACAGGCTCACCATAGTAAATATGAGCAACCTTGAAATTTGGCAAGTAGTTATAATTTATTGTTAGATACAAAAGCAACAAAGTTCATTAGTAGAGAGGTCTAATACCATGAACAAACTTGCCATCTGTCAGCTATATCTACAGCGTTCATCACTATCTGAATTTCAGAAAAGTACCATGAAAACATTTGATAGTTAGAAGTCATTTCATGCAAATAAACATTAAGCTTATGCCACAAACCCATAATGCAACCAAATGTAGTGTACTAATTTAAAAGGGCATGACAATCTTTTTTAAAAAGCCTCCACAGCTAAGAAGATTTTGCTATGCTGAGTGCTGCTGCAACTACAGACCAAGTCACTTACAAAGCTAGTTTTCTGTAAGTCTCAAGCGCACAGCTAATAAAGCTCAAGTATAGCGAGTGCATCACTGATAAATGACAGTAACTCCGCTTAATATGGAACTCAGGCACTTGCAATTCTCACTTTTTTGAGGGGAAGGAGGAACAGACTTATTTTGAAATACTAAAAAAAAAAAAAGTAATGCCATCAGAGGATGAAGAGCTATACTAGGAGTGTATCAGTTGGGAAATTTAAGATACCGATCAAAAGAATCTCATCTAAAAACTGTCCCAACTTGACTACCCTACAAAGCTACTAGTGAAATAGCTTCTTCATGCTAGTCTCCAAATATGAAAAACTGGGAACTGAGGCACCATCAGAGGAGATTAGGAGTTTTGTGCACCTACACTGGTTTGGGGGGTGGGGGGAGGGGACAATATAAAGAGGAAAAAGATATGAAAAGCAGCAGGTCATTTCAAAGCATCTGTGAGCAAATTAAACCAGTTTCCCTTTACACAGTGCCAAGCTACTCGCACTGAATCTCCCCAACCACCAACCTCAGCCATCACCTTTACTGTTTAGTATTTGCTTCTGGTACTAACCACAACATGCTAGGTGCTTTACCAAGGGGCATTCACGCATCTCTGCCACCCACCAAACCCACTGCATACCTAACCAGCATCCACGGGGGAGACCCTGGTTAGGGATAGAGAGGGGTGGGTGATGGGGGATACCAGGGAGGATATCCCCTGTGGATGGTGGTTAGGTATACTTTGGGGTAATGGGGGTTACCAGGGAAGGTGTCCCCTGTGGATGTTGGTTAGGTATGCTGGGGGATACTAGAAAGGGTCTCCCCCATGGATGCCACCCCCCTGCTTCCCTAGCCAACATCCACAGGGGACACCTTCCCTGGTAATCCCCATCACCCGCCTGTACCCCTAACCACCACCCACGGGGGATACCCTCCCTGGTATCCCCCATCACCCCCCTGCATCCCTAACCAGCATCGAGGGGGACACCCTCCCTGGTAGCCCCATCTCCTGCCTCTCTAACCAACACCCGCGGGATACACACGCTATCCTCCTCCTCCCGCTCTAGCCGTGGGGGGCACCTCTCCCAGCATCCCCAGCCCCCTGCCCGGCCCTGTCCCTGCCAGTTCCCACCAGCCGGGACTCGGCCCTGCTGCCGGGACCGGGCCGTTGTCTCCTTCCCTCGCCCGCACTCACTCGCCAGCCGCGGTCCATCCAGCCCCCCGCCGCCTCCTCCTCCGCCGGCGCCGTGGCTGCCCCCCAGCTCGGCCTTCTTAGGCCCCACCGCCGCCGCCGCTCCGGGGGCTGCCCCGTGCGGGTAGCCGGGCCCGGCGGCGGGGACGCTGGGGCCGGGCAGGCCGAGCGGGAGCCCCCCGAGGGCGGGCGGGGGCCCGGGGCAAGCGGGGGCGGCGCCGGGCTCCTCATGCAGGAACTGGCACTCCTCCCCGTAGAAACAGGTCTTGTCCTTGGCGTAGTAGCGGCAGAACTTCAGCTTCAGCCCCGCGCCGGGGGCCGGGACCGGGACCCCCACCGCCCCGACCCCCGCCGGGGCCCCCGCCACCGGGGACGGGCCCGCCGGGGACGGGCAGGGGAGGCCGCCGCTGTTCATGGCAACGCCGCCAGCCTCAGCACCATGGGGAGGGGCCGCGGGAGCCGCCGCCGTCACCCGGAGCTCCGACTCCGGAAGGGGGAGCCGGGGGCGCGTCTGTGCTTCTCTTAAAGGGGCCGCGCGGCTCAGCCCGCCGGGGATGAGGGGCGGAGGCGGCTCGTCAATGGGCCAGGGCCGGGGCTTGTTTATTCCATTTTCCTCTTCCTGAGCGGACGCCCCGCTGCGCATGCGCGGGAGAAGGGTGTTCTGGGTAATCCAGGACGAGCGAGGCGCTGGGGGACCCGGGCAGAGGGTCCCGCGCAAGCCTAGCGCGGGGGGAAGGGGGCGCGCGCGCGCGCCTCTCGCCAGTGACATCTCCCCGCGCGAGGCAGCCGCAGCTCCGGGACACGGGGGACGGAGCCTCCCCCGGGCATCCCCGGCCGTCTCGTGCCTGCTGGAAACACCTCCCCAGAGGCCGCAGCCTGAGCTGCTGCCCTCGCCCCGCGCATTCGGCTGCCTCCGAGGGAAACCATGTGAAAGCATCAAGGCCCTCGCAAGTGACGTGTAGCTCAGAGGCTGGCTGTTGTGCAGCCAGGGCTGTGTTCACGCCTCCTCCATGGGTGGCTGCAAAGCCCCCCGCGCTCAGTAAAGAATAAGTAGCCATTGATCAGCACCAGGGTGCTCGTGTAAGGCAAACAAACAAACAAACCAGGGAGGCGCTTGCAATGTCAGGGAGGGGTGCCGCAGCCCTCACGCCTGTGGGTGAGTTCTCCGGCCTGTGTTGTTATCTGGGAGGTCAGACTAGATTATCATGCTCCACCACCTTTCAGCATAGTTTACTTGTAGCTAGGTAAGTAATGGTTTAAAACACAGCTTCCTTCTGATGGTTTGTTAACATAACATGTGAAATCCTGGCCTTGTTCAAGTAAATGGGAAACCCTCAGCTGACGCCACTGGAATTTTACCATTGACTTCAGTGGAGCCAGGATTTCACTCATCACCTTCAAACGTGGCACTGATTCAAAATGCATTTAGGAAAAAAAAACTTTCTGTGATATCTCTACTGTATTCTGTAGCTAAACCCGCTTTCAAAATATGCACCCTCAAGGAAAGTGTACCGTGTTACCAGTTTTCTTCACTTGCATTCCACCAGACAGACAGGAGAGAGGCTGTCTTGGCCACACTTCCGGCTTTAAAATTATGAATTTGTGAGTACTCTCCTTGACCTCAAATGAGGCAGGTGAGGTGAGGGCTATAGGATTGGACCCCTCAAATGCCACAGATGGTAAAAGTATTAAATTTAGAATTATTACCAAGTGACAGAAAATGAGACATATTATGGTGGTAGCAAGGTAATTCAACAAGAAAATCCAGGGTTTTCCATTTTCCATGTTACGCAGGTATGGCTAAATATTTGGTATTTTTATACAATATATGGCCTGAAGAAAAATATATTCTGATGATAACTTTAAACGTATATATAAATTACATTATTTGTGTGCAGTGCAGCCATGTCTGTCCCAGGATATTAGAGAGACAAGGAGGGTGAAGTAATATCTTTTATTGGACCAACTTCTGTTGGTGAGAGAGACAAGCTTTTGAGCCACACACAGCTCTGCATCTTGCCTCTCTCACCAACATGTTGGTCCAATAAAAGATACTACCTCACCCACTTTGTCTTTCATTGTTATTTATAAACATCTTGTACTATTGTCTGTTCTAACTCAGTAGGCTACCACATATTGCGTCATGATATCAATTTTTAATCAGAACTCCCCATTTTAACCAATGGCCCTTTGTTAGTCTTATAGACACTGTCCTCAAATTCTAATATATTATTTTTAAAGGAACTAATACAATGTGTATATAACAATGAGAATATCTCATGTTCTTTCACTAATGTATCCCTCCTCCCATTCTTCCCCATTTCCTTACAGCCAAACCTTGCTGTGTTTTCTCTTATTTAAACTAAGATCTTCTGCCAGGGACCTGTCATTTCTTAATTGCCTGAAAACACCATGTACAACTATGACATTGTGTAAATACTAATATTGTGAGGCTGTTTCTGCAATGTCTGTTCTCCTTTGTAGATTAAAGGTGGGGGTTTGGACACACCCTCATTTTGAGTTTCATGACAGGATTCGGAAAAGATTTCCAAAAGCATAACTGTAAATTTCATGTTGAAAAACAAACAAATTCCTTCTTCACAGATGTTTGAAAACTGACTTAAAATTAATACAAAATAAGGGATTCTCCCTTTGGATGAGAGACTCGGCAAACCTGCCATTTTAAAGGCGTGTTTAAAGACTCTAGGGATGGAGAATTTTGTTATGTGGATTTTCAATGAGTCATTTGCAATCTCAAGAATTTTTAAAAGTCTTTCTCAATCAGACTGTCTCCACAGTTTGTGACACAATCCTTGCAATTATATATATAGCAGAAGAATCCCCATATTTTTAAGCACCATGGATATTATTTTGGTAAGAAAAACATTTACTGTGGAATTAAAATCCCTTTTTGTCTTGCTTAGACTCATTATTATAAAAAATAGAAAATCAGGGACTGCAATCAAGATGCTTTGACAGTTTGTACGAAAAGAGATTTTCAAGAATGAGTGGGTTTTTAAATGTCACATTGAAACAAATCAAAGTACTCCCTCATCACATAAAGACTTTAAAAACTTTTTAAAAAGCTGTCTTAAAATGAAACCTCAGACCACAGTTCTAGCAATTAGCATTATTGGTATGACTTTTTCAGGTGGTTGCAAACCAAGGGAGAGCAAATGAATTGCTTGGTTGAAAAGGTTGGTCTGAAAGATGGGCAAGATCCAGGCCCATCCTATCCAACGAGTCATGGTTCTATTATTTGCTTATTATATGGTGATCAAGTCATAGTCACTGCAAATGTCCCTTTGTGGAATGCAACCACAGACACACCTGCTCTGTGAGATTTGCAGCTCACTGGTGTCCACTGGAGTCCCCATTCAATGAATGATATCTGGGTTCAGCCCTTGCCTGGGTCAGCTCCTGCTGCAACCAGTCCCTGGTCTGAGAACACCAGGTAGTGCCAGAGTACTGCCCACTCGCTGGTGAGGTAATCTACATACTGTACATCCATGGGGATGTTAGACCATGTCCAAATGGAAGGATAAAGTTGTCTGTTGGGGATCAGTACAAGTTGGCTAACCCAGTTATATTGGAGTGGGATGTCATTCATTTTAACCAGCTTCTAGGGAGTTTTCAGAGATTCCCCTCTCAGAAGCTGTGGGATTTCCAGTCCTATTAGGGGAAACCAGCCTACCATTGTGAGTCAGATCGGGACAGATGAGGCTCCCCGCAACTGAGGGAGATTCTCCTGTTGTTCAGGAGTATCTAGAAGACCGTCATGATAAGCATTACGCCATGCGGTACTTTCAGCAAGACATCAAATTTCTAACAGGGCTGTAACTTTATGATTGAACCACAGAGAATGAGTAATGCAGATAACATCCTGAGTCAGGCATATGATCTAGTGGGTTTTGGCAGATTTCACTCACACTGGAGTCACTAGAGAAAATAGCTTTCTCCAGGCTCTAAGGGTTTTTGCACCATGGCTTTTTGAGTACATGGAGCTCCTGTGACAAGGTTTGAGCTTGCAGCTGGATGTGCAAACATCTTTTACCTCAAATGACTATCCACTACATGACAGTAGGTACGTGGCTCTACCTTGTTAGCAGGTATTGGAACCTGACCAGGAGTTGCAGTTTAATTGCTACTGATTCTCTGGGGCAGTTGTGATTAATTAGATTCCATCATGAATATAATAAGAGAAGTGGGATTAGCTAGAATTTATGACAGACAGGACCTAATGGAAAGAATCCTAGGAGGGGAAGAACCCAAGGAGAAAGCTTAGACAGACCTACCAAGCTTAAGGAGAAGGCGCACGTTGTGGATTGTGTTGTGTTATTTTGGATTTACAATTTTGTTAATAAAGCCAGGCTCTAGGAGGAGTGACGTTTTGACTCTACAGCGACAATGTAGCTTTTATTCAGTGCTGGGAAAGGACTCCAACCTCTTAAAATGTTCTAGCAAATATTTTTGATTGGGTATTTCACATTGCTACGTTCTGCTACCAATGTCACCTGTAAATGGCTTTGACATTTAGGGATCAATCTCTTATAGGCTCATGTGGTGACTTCGCTGCCCAACATCTGACTGAAGCAGTGGAAGAGTGTTATTTTGTGACAGGTCTGATTAGAGAGTCTGATAATATTTGCATACAGGCCATTTGGTATCTTTTTTTAATTAAGTACAAAATTACTACATCAGTATCCACCTAGCTGAATACATCCTACATCTGTGATTCAAAATCCTGACTACTGTATTCAATGAGAAGGGAAAGTCAATAACAGAAAACACAGCAATGGCTGAAGTGTTAAAGACCTTTTTTGTATCAGTTTGCACCAAAACAGTTAGCAGTGACTGGACGACTAACATAGTGTAAATGGGGTAAGATCTTCAGTGTAAATGGGGTAAGATCTGAGGCTAAAATAGGGAAAGAACAAGTTAAGAATTAGGTGTCAGTAGGGCCTGACAAAAATACACTGGGACCTGGCTGAAGAGATCTCTGAGCCATTAGCAATTATCTTTGAGAATTTGTATAAGACGGTAGAGATAGTGGAGGACAGGAGAGGTCCCAGAGGACTGGAAAAGGGCAAATTAGTTCCTGCTTATCCAAAGGGAAATCAGGACAACCCAGGAATCAGTCAGTTTAACATTGGTACCTGGAAAGACAATGGAACAAATAATCAATTTGTAAGCACATAGAATATAATAAGGTGATAAATAACTGCCAACATGGATTTGTCAAGAACAAATCATATCAAACCAACCTAATATGTTCTTTGACAGGGTAACAAGACTTCTGGATGTGGGGAAGCAGTAGATGTGAGGTATCTTGACTTTAGTAAGGTTTTTGATCCTGTCTCACTGGACCTTCTCATAAGCAAATTGGAGAAACAGCCTAGACCAGCGTTTCTCAAATGCAGCCACGGTGGCCGCATGTGGCCACCAGGGACTTTTCTTACGGCCACAACCTCCTGGGTGGTGATTGGGAGGTGGTGAGAA